CGACACCCATCAGGAACAGCAAAGTAAAGAGTACACAGAAGATCATGATGGTTCCTCACGGCATCCAAGTCCGATTGAGAAATGGGCTTTTCCTTGGGATATCTTCCATCGTGATTCGGTAGCAGTCGCCAAGCGAAATTTCGGATCTGTTTCTTGTCACAGGACAATGGCAAAAATCGCAGCCCGGTTGCCAGAAGCTTCAAAAAGATATGATAAGATGGGTCGCCTGGTTGGACGTCGAAGGAAGGGTTGTGGTCGAGTTCATCGAGAAAAGAAGGAGACTTGTAGCTCTCCTCGAGCTTCAGATCATAGAGATGCCTTTTCGCAAAGAAGTCATACAGGAGTTGCATTATAGACCTGCAATCTCGCCAGCCCCAACCAATGACCAGATGGTAGCATCTTCGGAAAAGAGCTCTGCAGTAATTGTTGCATGAGATTGGTTGCGTTTCAGCGTTGGTGTCGTAGTTATCGAGAACAGGTGAGAGCAATCGTTTCACCATCAACCAGTTGTCATGGGCTTCCCGGAAGCGTGCTCCAGTTCTGACCAGGCCACAGGAATCAAATTCGTTGAGCGGCAACGTGGTGAACAAGCTTTGCCATCCATTCTCGAAACCATCAATATCTCTTGAGTTACTCGAATCCCCTCCAGCTGACAAGTAGGCTTCAGCAATCAACTCACCGAAGCACTGTTTGAGTTCATCCATGGACAGCAACACATGTCGCACAATCACATAGGCCTCGATGACAGATTGGTCCGCCTGGATGCCCGCTTCACGCTTTGTGGGAGATTTGTTGTCCTGAAGAAATGTGCGCATCTGTATCTGCGCCGTCCGACTTGCAATGAAGCTTAGAACACGTCTGGCAGCAAACTTGACCAAATCTGATATCTCATAGGCAATCTTCCCATCAACAAGAGCATGTCGAGCTACCTGAAACGATTGGCTCGCAAACACAAGATTGTAGGACGCAATCTGCGTGAGATAATCCCTCTGACGCTCATCACTCAACACCATCGCCGTAAGTTGCTCGTTCAGCTTTGCAATGAGACTCTGGGTTCGTGTGACAAATCCCATTCTATCGATCGGATCCTCAAACGCCAGGTGTTCTGTGACATACTGGACCAACGACCTGTACAATGCACAAGCGTCGTGGGAAGTCGTTCCTCGATCAATGCTTGTTGCAGTTTCAGAGGCGGCCTTCTCTATCTCTTCGATCATAACGTCAAAGACTTGGCCGAGTTCAGAAGAGACCGTGTCGTTCCAAGGACCCCACCGGAAACACTGGTCTCTCAGTGTGATGCGAGAGAGACCGGTTTTCACATCCATATTGCGCGATTCAACCTTGAGAGAGCGCGAGAACTGGCCACTCCCTATAAACGTAGATTCATGGAAGAATGTGCCAGGGCAAAGAGGTGTGATATCGAAGTCAACGGTGTAGGTGCGCCGAAAAGACTTTAGTCCGTTGCCAGTGCTGATTGTAGAACGCGAGTTTTCCAGAACAACACCATCTGCCGGCATGGTAGTCACAGAATCTCGAGTGTCAACTCGCTGACTATCGAGCGCATCAAGGTCCACTCGCCGAGGCGGGCGTTTCTTCAACTGACGTCGCCTAGTATGGCCTGGAGGTGTAAGCGACGCATCAGTGGCCACGTTCGGGATCTCGGCAGGAAGATCTGATTGAACCCTGGTTGGGATAGAGTGTGTGAGACTGTTTGCAAGGTAACGATCAAGGGGTAAGCTCCGGTGTGTCGGGTGTTTGTGCCGGTAGTCTCGATTCAGCTGTGCAAGTGTTTTCTGGAAGAGCGACGGTGATGCAGAGTTCCTGCTAGCATCTGTTATTTCGGGTTCCGCTGGACGTGGGCCGTTTCTCTTCAGAGATGAAACGGCAAAGTTTCGACGAATGACCCATTTCCTACTTTGCTGCCCAGAGGCAGGCTTCGGACGCGACGAAATGTCCCTTTCTGTGGTTGGTGCGGTAGCTGGGACATCTGGACGCGTCTCGTCAGGAGCATCGTCGGTCAGATCAACTTGAGCGGTCCTCTTAGGATTTGGCAAGAAGCCTCTCTCCTTTAAATGAGGATTGTGATCGTTAACGACGGCTGACAGATTAACAGCGCGATCCAACAATGGCTGTCGCGCGTAAAGCTTGGTCTGTACTCGAGGCAACTGTGTCTGCCGAAGCTTTCCTCTCCGCCACTCGCCCAATGCCTTGTTAGCATCTTCCGTGTCCAGTCGCGATCCCAGCTTGATGAACTTGCGGGATGGGCTTCTCCTGCCCATATCTTTGCGGCAACGTGCTCTTCGCGCGGCGACCCTCAGGAATTGAGGCAGTTCTTCTCGAGGTCGATGAGCAACGTCTGGAGCATCTAAAATGCCTAGTCTAGGGAGACGGAGCGGCGCATCCCTCTCCTTTCGGGCTCCATATTCTGGATCGGTAATCCTTGTCTGTCGCTTCAATCGTGGTCTTTTATTGTGACTATGCGAGTGCGAGCCACTTGTTTCCGTCCTCTGACGTTTCTTGCCCGGCTTTCGACTTCGTGGGCCTGTTGGTCCCCGAGGTATTGGCGGGAACATGTAGTCTATGTGATCAGACTCAGGAATGTCGTCTCCGGCGATATTGTCGTCAAACGGCAAGTCGAGCTCAAATAACTCAGCTAACTTCTTGTGGGCGTCGACTGCAGGCATGTCCTCCTCTGCTCCAGTACTCTCGCCACTGTCATCATCCGCAAGATGACTTAACGATGCCAATGGCTCCCTAGCAGTTAAATCCATCCTAGAATCATTCTTTTTCGTGATCTTCCTGGCAACGCCCTTGGCGGTTTCTGTTCGATGGGATGCCAGTCTATCGCGCTGTCGCTGCGTGGATGGAAGATTTCCCTGTTTTTGAATTTTTTGATCCAGTCGCAGCCAAGATGCCGGTAGCACACCTTTGATCTTCCGTTGTAGAGCCCTCACTGCGGCTTGCTCATCATCTTCCTCAGGTGCATCCTCGTCCACGTCGGAGTTTGGTTGACTCTGATTAGTGGCTGATTCACCGTCCACAGAAACCTGGTCATCAGCGCCAGCCAACCAGTCTGTCATGTCAGAATTTATAGCATTGCGTCCACTGACTCGAGGCTCCGTAACCGGCGTAGTTAGGGTCGGTGGCGTGAATCCAAGTGGGAACCGGAATCCCTCGGCGTGCTGACTGGTTTGCGTGGAGGAGATGCTGCCTGAGCGTGGAGGACTTGGTATGTTGAAGATAGTGTTATTTTCAGGACGTGCAGGAGATTGGCAGATGACCACTTTTGGCTGGGGCGCGTGTTCCAGTGAGCGTCGTTCAGCATCTTCAGGTCGGGATACCCTGCGCCGTTTTGAAGGACGAGCATCTGATCTGTCCGGTAAATGGCCCTGGAAATGTGGCTCTAAACGACCTCGCCGATGTAGAGAATCCATGTGAACGTGTCTATCAGGCAGCGGAGGATCCATTGCTGGAGATGATGGCGGAAATTGAAAGTCTTCAACGGGACTGCTTGAAGGAGGCTCGAAGTCCTTGCTTTGACTCTCGTCGGCTGTGCCATGTACGGCTTGATGGTGAGGTACCCGTACAGGTTTCAGGCCTCTGGCTTTCATGAGACTCCGGTACTTCGCATCTTCGAGCAGGTAAGGATGTAATTGGATAGGATTCCGCTGTCTCAATGACCTGCGCATGGGTTGTGACATCTCCTGTAATATATGCTCCGGAATCTCAAAAGGCAGCAGTGGCTCCTCTGGATTCTGGGGAGCTTGCGTTTCTGTGGCCTCTGTGGCCTCTGTCGCCTTCTGCCCCTTTTGGCTATCTCGCAAACTGCCATCATCTTCACCCAGACGTATCGAATGAAGTGATGATAGAGGAGAAGAAAGAGGAGAGATATTGTCATTCTCGTTTACTAGCTGCGTCTCGACTTCATCAATAGCTGGCGTGCTATTCTGGGTTCCGAAGTCCTTCCTCTTTGAGAAGTAAGTGATCCGTCTCCGGGATGGCTGCAAATCGAACTGTAGCTCGTCCGGCGAACTGGGAATGTCCCATATCCCGGCCTGCGGTTGGGTGCGAGGCGTTGATGGAGTGCTGGGATTCGTGGCGGTCACACCACTTGAACTGGACGAAGACTCGGCCACCTCTCTCGTACCAGGCATACTCTGACCTGCCGGATCTTTCTGACTTCCTCGAACAGAGCCAGAGCCATCTTGAGATGTCTTCTTCCTTACATCCACCATCGTAGAGTCCTCCTCGGCCTTATCAACGGCGGGCGTGCTTTCTTCAGCATCCTTCGAGCCTAATACCACATTTTGAGCTTTGTCGGTACCATCGTCACCAAGCCCATCCCGTTGTCCCTCGTCTGCTTCATCGTGTGCCGCCGGCGCAGTGTGTTTCGCATTGGGCGTAACCTCTTCCGTCCCTCCATCACCACCGTCGACCCTCCCATTCACCACCTTTGACTCCTGACTGTCAAAGTCAACCTCCGAGTCCGAGTCCGGTACAAACCCTCGTTCCCGCCATGATTCCATTTGTGACCTTGGCGCTGCTTGCCCATTTCCCTATTTGTCCATGCTTCGTCCGCGGCTGCGAAACTCGTCCAAAATTCCCTGGACCGATGCAGATGGGAACCGATCACGAGATTTCAAGTGCGTAAAGGTCAAGGCCAATCGTATATGTCGGATTGGTGATTACAGGTCGAACAAAGTTGTTCGTTGATTAGACGCGTCGAAAATGCGTGGAGACGCGTTGTTCCCAAAAGGCGGAAATCGTAAGTGGATTAATGGTATGGAGCAGTTCCGCAGTCGACGGGCGCCTGGGAGCCTGGAACCGCCGGCCGTTTAAGTGCCAGTTAGGCCTAAATCGATCTGCCTGCTCTGCACGTTTCTTGTGCCGGAGTTTCTACGGATATAAATGATCGGCCATAATTTGTTTATCTTATCCTGACTACGATAATCAACTCTTTCGATTCACCTGCAGCAGCTTGCACCATCACCATCGAAAACATGAGTCGCAACTTCATCCCCGCCGCATTAGCCATCGGCATGGGCATATTGACCGGTATGATCTCACAAACCTTCGAGTTCCTGAACCCGGAGACTTACCATTGAAATTTCCCCCTCAGGCTACTATACCTTCCAACCCGCACTACAAGAACTCCAAATCGAGAAGCGCAAGCCTCAATCGTATGTCTCGCTCTTCACGTTCTGCGACGAGCCACCGCGCATTGCATTTAGACATGAGTTAGCCGTATGCTGATGGACATACGCAGGACCAGTGGACAAGCAGAGCAATTGGGGAATAGTCAAATGAAGTCTCAGACTCCCGCGTCAAGCTCCGAGACCAAGCCGTCGGACCAGCAGACCAGGTAGCGCTGAGCGAGAAACCGGATGAAGGCGGACTTGAAGAGAATGTTCCTGCAGGAGCAGGGACTTCGAACCGGATCCACAGTGCTGAAGCAAGTTGGAGCGAGGTGGTGCAAGACATCTCTGTCTGGAGACAGGACTTCAGAGCGCGCTCTCGAGGGACCTAGCGCTGCGCCATCGCGGGACCAGGGAGCTACCTGTTTGGTGGAGTAGAGCTCATCCTCAACTGGGTTCTGCCAGCAGTGTCGCATCGGCGTCAACTGGTGTCGACGGATTTGCTTTACAGCTCAATGGCTCAAAGCAATTGCCACGGATGGCAGTCGCTAATGCTTCCCAGCTGAAAGGTATGCTTCGTGCATCGGCACATGGACAGGTGTTCCATTGTAATATATAAATAGTTGCTACTGTGCTGTTTAAAGCTCGTTCAGCCCGTTTGCAAATGTATATTAGCGCATTTCTACGCTCTTTTTGTATCTGAAAGACCAACCGAGTAGGGTATGATACACACTTGACAGAAGGTAAAATACATGAACGACAGCAATTTAAGAATCATTGGCCCTTCCCAGCTTCAGTAAGAAGAATATCGTCAGACAAGATCAATGCCGCCCTAAAACGCCCAGCTCCAATTTCCCTGCACAGTCATACCGAGAATCAAACTTCCTCCACAAGCTTTGATGGCCGGCTAGGAGCTTCCCCAAAGACGCGTCCCGCAGGAGTTCCGAGCCATTCTTCAGGCACACCGATACGACTGCCCTTGCGGCCACTCACCCATCTGACCATTGTCGGCTGTGGTTTCTCTGCTTCTTCTGCCTCTTGCTCGGCGGCATTGGCTTCCGCTTCAGCAACTGGAATCCGACCACGCCGTTTTGGAGCCTGCTTGCGTAGCAACCTATTGATCGTGTCCATCTGTGCTAATACGTTAGCGATGTGGTACAGCGAGCAGATAGCGGAATTTCGAGACCGAGAAGGGGCTGCTTCACCGGCCCAACTTACCTTTTCTTCCTCGTTCCGCTTCTCGCTAAGATTCTTTCTTCTTCGGGCCATTTCAGCACGACGCATAGCACGTTCCTCTGCCGTTAGGTGCTTTTTCACTTGAGGTTCTGTTTCTTGGTCAGCAGCGACACTTCACTCAAAGCGCTTATAGAAGGGAAACTCACCCATGGGGAGCTGCAAAAAGTCATTGCCGAGGGTTCCTCTCTGCCGCTTGGTTAACCGGCTAAGGTCGCCTCCGGGTGTGATCTCTTCACTATCTTCGTCCTCCTCGTCTTCTTCATCCTCTTCATCCAGGTCCTCGTCTCCTCCATTTCCATTGCCAAGCCCACTCTCGTCCTGGTCATCAGGCTCACCTTCGGCATCCGTATCTAGCTCGGATAACTCCTCGTCATCTTCGTCGTCTTCCTCCTCCAGTTCCATCTCCTTCTCCTCCACGCTCTTCACAGCCTTGCCTGTTGACGTGGCAGCACCCTTGGCGTGCCTTTTTGAAGTTGGTGGTCGGGGTGGCGCATCATCCAGTTCCAAATCGCCATCCGCATCAACGTCATCCTCGCCAGGTGCATCCTCGTCAACTTCATCCTCCTCTTGGTCTTCTAAATCATCCCCCTCGCTTGTGCTAACCTCTACGAGCTTCCTCTTGGGCCGGCTAGACCGGGGTCCCGTGATGATGGGATTTTCAGTGAAGACATTGTGGGAGCGTCTGGTTGACGTGCTACCCCGTGCGCTACCCCCAGTAGCTTCGCGGAGCTTGCTCGAAGGCATCCTTACTGTCAGAAAAAGCGATTTGACGGGGTTCTCTGCGCTGCCTGAAACAGACCGAGTGACTGTTACTAGTGGGGCAGATGGGACAGCACGTGTCGATCTGGTAGGCTTTGGACTCATGTCAGAATCAATGCTTGATGGATCATCTCGCGCTGGACGAGAGCGAAGAGAGCGAAGAGAGCGACGTATAGACATAGCCAAGGGAAACAAAGGAGACTTTTCTGAAATTATATTATGGGAAACAGGAATGAGGGGTAGGAGGATGATGAAGAGAAGATCGTTGTAGTGATAAATCCAGCGATGCGATGCGATTTAAGCAACAACTGAAGACAGTTTAAAAGGGTTGATGGGAAGAAGCTCGCAACGTCAATGAGTTGACGATGCCTAACTATGAAGATTCTAGCAGGGGAAGCGGGGATGCGAGTGAATGGGAGCTAATATCCACAGGTCGACGGATGAGCTCAAGATGATGGTCATCGAGCAAACATCCATTCATAGGATGATGGATACGTGGGCCATTGTAGATAGTTGTGTGTAGGTAGGCCATGCATTCCGGGTAGACGCAGGCAAGCAACGCCCATCACACATTTGACGCCAGTTAAAAGTCGCAAGCCGGCATCAAGGATGGGGACCAATTAGGCGTTGCGATCCAGGATGGGATGGAGGAAGCCCGTGCAAAAGCGACAAGCGACTAAGACAACGAACCCATCGCAGACGCGGTGAATTTCAACGCTTGTGCGTTCGTTTCTCTCCGCCACACCCACATACCAGGGGCGTATAATCCTTGTAGTGACCGTGGCAAGGCTTCCCCGAAAAACGGAAACAATCAAGAATCGAAAAACACACCAATGACAAGTCACAGGGTTATTGTGCAAGAGTGACAGAAAATAAGAGCAATACGAGAGGACGGATACTCACTCGACCAGGAGGAACTAATAGATGGTTCGTTGATAGAGGAATGGACGGGGAAGGGTCCAGGATGATCTTGACGGCAATTCCCTTGTATATCTCAGGTATATATATTGATGTCGGACAAAGAACACTTGTCACTGATGAAAGATGGATATGTATGCTCTTTTACAAGTGCAGCATTCTTAATGGATGATATCAGGAGTGCTCTGTATGTCCATTCTTGTTCGCCAGTCTGATTTATTCCTCATCCTCCCCATTCTGCCGCTCAGCGGTGTGTGTGCTTGGCAGTTGTACATCTGTGAGATAACTCTCTTAACCAGAACATCCACTCGGAGTTACTTTTGAAAATACATACAGAGGCTTCTTCGAGTGCTCTCAGGCCAAGAACACATGATGATGATATTCTCTTTATATCATTCGTACCAGTATATCGACATGAAGAGCCCAAGAATAATCACCTTTAGATGATCAGGTGATCTGTAGTACTTAAGATGAGTATATTACATTACATTACCATACAGCCGAGGTCTGGGGAAATCGACCCCAAGGAAACGGCCGACATCTCCATCGCTCACATGAAGTTCTATGTCCGTCTCTCCTCCTTATCTCCTCTGTCACTCAACGTGCTTCTTGAAGTCGATATTTTTCCCCTCTTGTGGAGCGCAACATGTCGGATACCAAGTCTAAACTCCCTTCAATCCCTCAATGGCAGCAACCTGCCGCTGCCAGCACCAATGCCAACACCTCCAACTCCACATCATCGCCAAGCTCCGATGAGACACCCCGCTCAGTGCTCATAGAGCAAGCCAGAAAGTTCTTGCAGGATGACTCCCTACGCGATGCGCCCATTGACCGCAAGGTAGCTTTTCTAGAGTCCAAGGGCCTCCGAAGCGAGGAAATAGACAGTCTCCTGTCCATCTCGCGGGATGCGGACTCAAACAGCAGCAGCACCGCCGAGGGGAACAAGTCTACCCCGGATTCTACCACATCATCCACCAACGAGGAGTCGCAAAGTCCCAAAGAATCATCTTCTTCATCACCAACATCATCCGCATCTTCATCTACCACATCCGCTGCTCCAACCGCAACGAAGAACTCCGCACCACGCGATGTCCCACCCATCATCACTTACCCCGAATTCCTCATTCAGCAATCCAAACCCCCACCACTGGTAACCCTCCGCAGCATTCTCTACACCCTCTACGGCGCCGCCGGCCTAGGAGCAAGCCTCTACGGCGCAAGCGAATACCTCGTCAAGCCAATGCTCGCCACCCTTACCAGCGCCCGCCTCGAACTCGCCCAAACCGCCAACACCAACCTCCAAAAACTCAACGAGAAACTCGAGCAGAATGTCTCTCGGATCCCACCCCAACTCTCCGCAAAAGACGCAAAACAAACCGAGCCTGCCGACTCCGAAGACGACGAGGACTCCATCACCTCCGACCCAACAGAGCTCTTCCACCGGGACGTCGCAACCCAGACCTCCCAGGATCTGGACACAAGCACCCTCCCACGCACTGTAGACCAGCACTCCGCCGACGAGGTAGCCCCCGACCCCACCGCAGCAGTGGACACGCACCTCAAGCGACTCGAGAACATCACCTCGCATCTCCGCGAAGTCGCCGCCTCCGAGACAGAATCAGGTGCGCTGGACGACTCCGTGCGTACCCGGTTGAACGAACTACACCATTACCTCGATGGCTTGCTCTACAGCAGGTCCAGCTATAGTTCTGTCACAGGGTATGGGGTATACAGCACGCCTGGTCTGGAGACCACATCCGGCCCCTCGGCGGGCATCAGCAAAGCCGAAGAAGACGCGATGGCCAGCTTCCGGGCTGACATTAGAGGTGTCAAGGGCGCCTTGCTGAGCGCTCGGAACTTTCCCGCCAGCCGGGGAAGAACTGGCTCGGGGATTCTGTCTGGCAAGTGAAGGTCTATGTATATATTTTAGAAGAGGATGAGCATTCTTGGAATCTGAATGTATTCTGGGTTGAGGTTTCTTATCGATCCAAGCAAAGATGCCCACTCATTTGCGTGTTGCGTGGCAGTGTATATCTATAGAGTCTAACATTTTTAATTCAAGTTGGTTGAAACAAATGTTGCCCGTTGAGAGCAATCTTCTAGCTGAAGGCCAAAGTCTAAGTCATTTTTTCTTTCCTCTTCKTGCTCTCTTGGACTATAGTAATACGGCGGATAGGAAACTCGCAGAAACATCACGATAACATAGACGTGTGAAGAAGATAACCTGATCAAATACAGGCTAGCGCGGAGAATCCACAACTAGCTAGGTGAGACGGCGACAAGGCCAACCACTATACAAACAACTCATAACCACATTGCATGCTACATTCTCAGTAGTCAACTCATCAAGGCGTGGCCCGGCTCATGCTAATCAGACGCTTGACACCAACCTAGTACCCCAAAGTTAGCAAAGGGTCAATTTGAGCTGTTTGGGATCAGAAATCGGCATACCATCCAGTTACCGCATTCCTCCGTCCTG